CGAGGGGAGCGATAGAGAGACGGAGACGGGAAAGAGAGAGAGGGGAAAGAGAGAGGAGGAGGGAAAAACGCATGACGAGAGGAAAAAAGACGATGAGGGAAGAGAGAGAGGAGACGGAGACGAGCGGAGGAAAGAGAGACCCAGGGAAGACCCACGAGAGAGAAAGAGGCAGACACAGCAAAGAGAGAGAGGAAAGAAGAGGGGGAAAGAGCAGCACGAGGGAAAGCGAGAGGAAAAGCAGAGAGAGAGGGAAAGAAGGGAAAAGAGAGCAGAGAGGAAGAGAGGAGGAGGAAGAGGAAAAAGAGAGGAAAGGAAGACAGAGAGAGAGAAAGAGAGAGAGAGCCGGAAAAGAGAGGGGAAAGAAGAGGGAACGAGAGAGAGGGGAACGAAAGGGAAAGAGAGGGAAAGAGCAGAGGATGAGAGAGAGAGAGGGAAAGAGAGAGGAAAGAGAGAGGAAAGAAGAAGAGGTAAAGACGGAGAGAGGGAAGAAGAGGGAAAGAGAGAGAGAGGCCGAAAGAGAGAGAGAGGGAAAAGAGAGAGGAAAGAGAGAGGGAAAGAGAGAGAGGAAAGAGAAGAGGAAAGAGAGAGAGAAAGAGAAGAGAGGGAATGAGAGAGAAGATGAGAGAGGAAGGAAAGGAAAAGAGAGAGGAAAGAGAGAGGGAGAGAGAGAGGGGAAAGAGAGGGAAAGAGAGAGAGAGGAAAGAGTTCCCTCTCGAGAGCTAGGTCGAATTCAGTCGCTGTCTAGAGGATAATTCTAGCTCTAATCGATAGTTTCTCTGCGCTACGTCAGGCGAATGCCAAAGCAGAAACCTAACAAATGGACCACCTACCGCACGTTATCTTTCCTTCCTCTTCCTTGTCCTCCCCTCACCACATACTTTTACAACACTAACATGCACTACACTACACATACCTTTACGTTATTTAAGATATTAAAATTACTTTTCAAATGAAAGTTAGGATAGTTCTTTGCGCAGTATGAAGACTGTGCCTTACAGCGCAATTCTATTTGCGGCCATCTTACTTTGCAGGGTCATCAAGGTATTTCTGGGCACTTTTTTTCAATTATTCCCAGTGCGTTGACAACAATGTGAAGGACATGCGTGTTGATGTTCCACATTCTGGTGAATTCATTCTCCAAGTTCTTGTACACGTTCAATTTTTTACTGTAACTAATAAAGCAAAACAAATACTACTAACGCAAATTTTAAATAAATAAATCCATTTTAAGCATTTGAAACATATTGTCGCGAATGTCTGCTTAAAACAAATCACCGAACATGTGCTCCAGATTTTTTATGCATTTGTTTCATTTTCACTACCTCATTTGGTAGCGTAATAGTATTATACACTACAGTCTCCTTCAAAATAATGCTTTCCGGAAACTGCAAGAGAACAATAGTTTCTGTATTCATTTGTCGTTTCACCAAAGTCAAATTACGTTGGTATACATGAAGAGGTCAAATGAGCTGCAATTTTACATTAGTGCCATTAATCAGGGTATCTTCTGCATGAAATGTGATTATTTTACTTGTGTATGAGCCACAATGAAAATAAATGTCACAATTAGACTATTCAATTTTATTCAGGAGCGCTCTACAGTTCTTTGAGGTCGATAGGTTTCTAATAATTAGAAGAAACACTACAGACCTACTCATTTCTGAAACCATTATGATGCCCAACCTTAATATTAATAATAATAATAATAATAATAATAATAATAATAATAATAATAATAATAACAGCAACAACAATAATAATGAATACATTATTATTTACAATAATAAATTATTATTTACAACTACGTCAAAATTGTGAGCTAGCGTTGAGATTGCTTAATTCCTAATTTTGGAAAATAAACAAACCAACTTCGCAGTAGAAGAAACCTCAGTGAGGTGAAAGCTTCACAGCAAATATAGAATTGACGTTATTCCATTGAGCCTCACTTTCTTCAATTAACACTTGGAAGAGCACACATGATTATCTAAGATTCTAAACCGACCTAGAAATCTCGGTAGCAAAACATAAATATAGTATGGTAAAGGAAATAATCTCCACAAAAGGTTTAAACCTTTTGTGGAGATTATTTCCTTTACCATATTATGGATTACCACAAGTTATCTGCTTCCACCACGGAATTTACCTAAATATAGATTATTTCATCTTCTTATTCTCAAGCATGCATACAGTTAAAGTAATTCCAATTGCAGATGACAAAGTTTCTGTTTGTCGGTGTGCAGCATGTCGGTGTGCCGACGGGACCTGCTGCTTCTGCAGACGGGCGTGCCCACGACGCTGCAGCTGTTCCCGGGCGAGTGCCACCCGCCGGTGCCGCCGGCCGCCTCCGCGTCGGCGGCGAACGCCTCCTCCGCGCCCACCTCCACCACCTCCACGGCGGCCCCGCCTCCGCAGGTCAGTCACCCCACCTGGACTAATCACTAACATCCTAGACTTCTAAACACGCCAGCCGTTGGAGAAATGCAGCGCGCTACGAAAGTGTCTCCGCAGTGTCACCTTGCTAATGCGAGTCCCTGCAAATAGAAATTATGTTGGTAGCACGAACTACGGATTGTAAAAAGTAAATAGCGTACTCACCACAATCATAATAGACTAGCGTATCCGTGTCAGAAGTCTAGCATGTTAAACCCCCACCATAATTTTTCCTAAGGGTATCGTGAAACTGAAACATGCTGTCTGTTTTCATCGTAGTTCCCTCCACATCGATGTTCTATACATTGTAGACCACGGCGAAACGTTAAATTAATGGTTGCACTAAAATCTTCATCGGTATCTACCAAGTATGAATAGTACGTTAATAGCACGACCACTTAGAAAAAACCCATTATGGCTAAGCCACCCCCACTGCTCCCGAAGGGGAGCTCAGTCGAATTCAATGACCACTGCAATGATAACGGAGAGACCCTTGCAACATCGATCTCATAGCAGAGATACAAGCCTTCAACTGTACAGGGTGCGGGATTGTCTTCAAGGTCATGCTGCCTTCCTAGTGGAGCTATAGTTGTTGCTGCGAGAAAGAATCTTTAATTAATAATTGCGCAAATAAACCTCGTCAGACTGCACAAACGGAGGTACATATTAAGCGTAAATAGTATAAGATAGAAGAATCTAAGCCTTCTACGCTTGACGTCCCAAAGATAGCCATCAAGGATTGAAATATAGGTGGGATTGGTAGTAAGTGCCGAACCGGCAAGCATTTAATAGAATGTCTTATTCTGTAGATTACGGTGTGAGAAACGTTTCTTTGTGGCCTTAGATCTCAAAATTTTAGTTTTTAAGGCCTTAGAACGCTTTGTTTAGGATCTATTTAACGATATAGCTGACTGAGTGTTGCGGGTTGCATTTGACATGGATATTTAGTTGTTGTTTTTTACAAAACGTCGCATTTTGAAAGTCAAAGTGTAATTAGTCACATCTTCATGAACTTCTCTTTGTTTAGAGATCTCATTTATAAATATCGGTTGCATGTGAAAGCCACAAAAGGTATGTATACTACTGAAATAATATAGGAGACGAAGGTGGAAGCGTTGTCCCGTTCACTTGTTTCCCAGTGATCTGGTTGCTAAGAACATAAATACAGTATTTAATAGGAGGCCCTCAGTCGGCTCAGTTGCGGAGAGACATAGACTTCCCTGGCATACTGTATTTCTCCAACGGCTGGCATGTTCAGATTTCTAGGATATGCCCTCAATTTTTCAATTCGTGCTCACCTTTGTGAGAGCAGCTGATGAATCATATGAAATTAACGGAAGCGAAAGTAAAACGGTGCAACAGTGAGCCTCGATGTGATAGGATTGTGCACTTACAATAAATTGTTACTTTTCTACCGATATTTTTCTTACACGTAACGCTTAAGTTTCACTATCACTAAGTACTAATACATATGATGACGTCAAGAAGTTGAAAATATAAAATTTTCTTTCGAGTTTTAGAATATATTGATAACATAAACTTTTTTACATAAGTTCTGATACTCATTTATCGCATACTTATTTCAATTTCTTAACAATGTACGTGCTAATCAAATATTGTCAAATGAAGGACGTTAATCAAATATTGTTTTCGCTCGGAGAGTGAAGGAGAGAGCGGGATGCTTTCTGTGCTCTAGGCTGCCGCGTCGTTTGCATAGGCGAAAGTGCAGCCCTGCCTCGCCCGCAGGCGTCTCACGCTTGTGGCAGGAAGTTACTTCCTGTCCATTATGGCGCCGCCATATTGGAGAGCGACCGAAGTCCCGCCGATTATGGGGGCGCCACCTCCACTCGGAATCGCGTGACGACTTTCCACAGTGCGGTCAAAGAGGATACAAAGGGCGCTTCGTGCATTTCACTCATGTTGTAAATGAGGAAAGTAAGATGAGTAAAGTTGTGCTCGGGCAATTAGCCACCGAAAAAAGGTCCCCCTAAAAATGGATTTGTAAACATACATTGAACTTCTTGGAAAATGTTCCTTTCTACGAGTCTGATGATTAGGGGGCGCATTTTAATGAAATATTTGTTTTCTTTTCACTGTACAACAAAGCCTTTTAGTATATACTTCAATTTTATGTTTTATGTTATTTCATACTTCATTTTTATATGTTTTTTTTTTTGCATTTTTCGTCGCTTTCTGCAAATAAGATTTCCTGTATACGCACGTATATACGGAGTAATATACGTAGTGTAGGGATAGTTATCTAATGCTTCGGAAAATAGATTTCGTGATTTCAACGGAAATACACATTTTGTGGTCCTCGGACACCAAAAGAGTGTTTTTTTTTCCAAACGTCCGTCTGTCTGTCCGTCTGCCCGTCTGTCTGTCAGTCTGCCCGTCCGCCTGTCCTAGTGGGGTCTGTGAACACTATTAACCTAAACCATGCGTAGGATTTTTTTCAAATTGAAGAAGCCCATGTCCATCTGACTCGAGTCGAAGCTTTAAGATTTTGAAAAACATTCTTTAAAATTTGGGGGTACTTTATATGAAGCCTCCCGGACATTTTCAAAATTTTCGCAATAACCCCTCCAAAGTTTTGCTTTACATTTCTTGTAAGAATGGAGTAACATACACTTATAAAGGTGGCATAGATCCGATTTTCACGGTTAACTCAGAATTTTCTAAAGTTTCAAAAGTAAGATTTTTTCGTTATTTTCGCTCGAATTTTTACTACAAAACTAAAGATAGAGATTTTTCCTTCAAATGAAAAATTGTTGTATATAATTACTTCTTATATGAAGAACATGTACATTTTTTGAAAATTTTAGTAGTTTTCGCGCAATATTGCGTGCAATATTTGCAGTTTTAAAGAATTCCAAAAAACAAGATTTTCTCAAAAACGGATCCAAAGTTTTTATCTAAACTTTTGGTAGGTATTGTGCTAAATCCACTATATAAGATAACATAAAACGCCATATTGCTCTATTGTTTTGTTTTTACAAAAATCACAAAAAATTATTTTTGACTTGTCTCTCACGTCGTTAATATTTGCACTAGCGGCAATTTGTTCACATTATTATATTTATGAGTACATGTGCTTTAAATAATGTCATATAAATCTTCTCGAAAACGACCGTTTTCTGTGAATACTCGCTCAAAATGCCGCATTTTCAGAAACGCCCAAACGCCGTTTTCGCAAAAACGCTAATTTTTTTCAATCTTTTCGAAAGGATAGTGCTAATTGTACTCTGTAATATGAGATAAAGTTCATTTCAAGGTATTATTTCTTCAAAAATTACACAATTCTTTTTTTATGATCTCTCACGTTGATAATTTGCACATTTCCAACAATTTGTAAACACTATTATATTTGTGAGTTAATATTCCTCAAATGACTCCGAATGAAGTTTTTCGAAAACTTAAAAGTTATCTGTAAAAAAAAGCTTCAAAATTCAAATTTACTGTAGTGCTTAAGCGCCATTTTCTTCAAAACGGCTCCAAATTGGTCAAAGAAAATTGCCATTTAAGTAGAGGTTTTACTGTTCTTTAATATTCCTAAAATAATATTTACATTTTACTATCAGAAAACAGAACAATTAAGAAAATTTCAAAAAACGTTCTTTGGGCGGCGATAGCTGCTGGCAAGAATATGCTGCAAGTTCGTATAACTAGCTGAGACCATAGGAAATAATACGGGAAACTCTGTGCCATTCTGTAGCACCACTAGTTTTTTTGTTTTTGTTTTTTTCATTTTTAAAGTATTTTTTGCTGATTTAATCGATTTTAATATAGCTTTAAAGCAACTTCCTACAAATAATATTTACGGGATGCAACAAATGTTATCCACAGAATTACTTAGTGGCCTATTCGATTTCTTCGCTTTGAAATTGTAATGTCAGCCGTTGTATGTAATCTAAGGTTCCTGATGCCTACCAGCGCCATTGTCAGTTTGACCGATTTCGGGCTCAAGACAGAGATTTTCAGATAAAAAACAGTCCAAACCAAAAGTTTCCAAGCTAGGTTCACTTGAACGAATGGAAGAACCCTCGATTACATAAATAACATACGCAATAGCTTGAGTTTTTCTTCTGAACAAGTTGTGATCATTATTTTACGTAATATTTTTTATGGCATTTTTAAAACATTTTAAGAGCATTTTATTGACCATTTTGAAGATGTTTTACATAATCAAAACCCGCTTCCTACTGATGACTAATCATTTACAAGAAAATACTTCGGGAATCTGATAAGCATCAAGATGAAAATCATGAATTCATTCCAATTACTCATTGTCTAAGTTATTCTGTTGGAATTACGGACGGTTCCTGAAAAGTCTTCACATGTGGAAACCCTAATTGCAATCCTAACATTCCTTTTAAGATTCTGTTTCAAACTTTCATTTTTGTCTAAGTTTTGTCTCTTGCACTCACGTACGCCGCGCACTTGAGAACGCCACGTAGAACGCAATTTCTAGATGACAGTTTAATTATGAGCACTGAGAAATATGATTTGGCTAAGTAACTAAATGTTTTGTCGTTAGGAATACGAGGCAACTCTGATTTGGGGAACCAGAAAGGTGCCGCAAACGCTCGGTTGTTTTATTTATAAGTGATCATTTATTGTCATTCTAAAACACAGAAAAACTAGTTTTTCCATTTCAACGTTTGTCGTGGCTTCTTGGAACAATCTCGGAATGGTGGCGACTAGACGTCGTTAAAGCGCTTGCCAGATGTTCCGTGTAAGTTGAAAGACTCTGCCCTCATTTGCTAGAATTACTCGTACTCGCCGATACCAAACGAAGTTGTCTTCACGGAGAGAAAAACCTTCCCGTTATTTGCAAAAGCTTCCATCCATGATTTCAGGGCAGCTTCTATTTAGCTACTAATGCTTCGTTTTTCTAGGTATAAGCATTTCATTCCGCAAGGTGAATTTTGCGTGGTGAAATAATATGAGGAATATTTTGTTTAAATTAGTAAAACGTAGGAAAAGAAGAAAAATTATCGTTCATACTTGTATGTTGATTTAAAATTAGTCGTAATAAATATTAAATATTTTACTTAAGCCCTTCAAAAAATATTACAAAAATTAACATATAAGAATTAAAACTATTCTCCTCTTTTTATTTTACTGCTTAGAGTTAGCATTTAAATATTTTAAAACATATTTCCTCGACTTTATACTTCTTTTTCTCTTTATTCTCATGAGTTAGTGACTTTTTGTAAGTTTCGGGATGTGTTATTATTTAACAATTTCTCCGAATGGACATCAGATCATTTTACGTAATCTCCTTTCCCATAAAAAGTTTCAACCACAAGCAATCTCTCACAAACATTTTAAAAAATTCGAAATCATTCTTTACGACATAGCTTATTAAGAAACTTTTCTGATTGCATGCAAGATCTGAGTAAAACGTAACGTAACCAACATCGATTTCTCCAAGACACATTCCGTTTGCGAAGTACACACTTGTAGTTGAAGTACACATTTGTAGTTTGTGAAGTACACACTTGTTGTTGAAATGTGAATTCATTTCCAGAGAAGCGAATGTTCAGTCATTTAGGTTGTGGTTATTTTGCTTTAGATCAATCGCTTGCATTTTCACGTTTTTTTATACAAAATATATCATGTTGCAACATTTACTTAATATTTTTGTTAGGCCTATTTCAATATAATTGCGATGAAATATTATGTTTTTAAATTATGAAATTTCAAGACGCGCTAATATATTATAGAGATGTGTATTTATTTTTAATTAACTTTTCATTTTCTCGATCGTGGAGTATATCACATTCTTGTACAATGTATAAATTATGTATGTAGGTTTGTCAAAATATGAGCAGTGAAGTCTAGCAATTAATTTTCTGAGCTGCAAAATAAACATTCTGAAAATCCTTAAAAGCATATTCAATTGTTTGTCTTAGTTTAACCACTCTTTCACTGAAACAAACGAAAAAAAGCTATTTGAATCAAACAAAATTATTTTTATCAACACGTTTAACGTCTGACAAACCTAATCATTTTAATAAATATAGAAAACAATAGAAATTGTTACGAGGACTATTGCAGAGGCAAGATTAAACGATACAAGTAGAGATACTGTATCACTTGATTTTAATGCCCATATCAAACTTGTATTATTAATAGTTAGTACGTTCATAAATAAAGTTTCGGTTTGCATCGCTCGCAAACTGTACTCATGCATTCCCGCCATGTTTGACAGGCGGCTGCAGAGAAGGGGGAGGAAGCGGAGAAGGGCGCGGGGGCGGGGCGACGAGCTGACGGCGCTGCTTGGGGGACGGCGGCGAGCTTGAGCGGCTGGTGCCTCGTGGACCGCTGTCGACGGCGGCGACGGCGGGCGCAACAGCCTGAGGACTCGCGGCCTTCCATTCGGGCCCCGCGGGCTGCACGCCCTCCCGGACGACCAACAGCCGCGGCGCCCTGCGCCACGCACGCCCGGCCCGCGCGCCGCTCGGCAGCTCCGCCAGCCCTCGCCGCGCCCGCGCCGCCCGGAGCCCCTGCCGACATCAAGGAGCCCGTGCTGACGCCGCGCACCTCCCCGCGCCCCCCGCGCCGAGGAGGGCGACGGCGCCGACGGCGGCGGGCGGGCGGCTCGCCTCGCCGGCGCTTCTCCTCCGAGGCCGACACGCCGCTCTGGATCCCCGCCGCGCCTCACTCCGCCCCCGCTCAGCTCGCCCCCCGCTGGCGCCACTGGGCGTGGCGCGCGCGCCCGCCCCGCGCTCCGCCCACCCCCACCCCGGCGCACGCTGGACGCCGCGCGCCGGCACCCTGCAGTTCTGCCGCAGCGACTCGTGGCGCTGCTGTCGCAGGTGAGTCTCCACGCCTGGGACTGCGATGGCACGGCGTTAGATGTAGTGACCTCGATGGAATTCCGCATGAGTGGTACTACTACATGGCGAACAAAAAACTGGGGCGTTCAACTATCCAATAGCCAATGAAACAAATTCACCTATATAATTTTTTTTTATCATTTTCTTTAGTAACGATGAAAGTCATTCAATATCTAAATTTTAAAAAAAATATTTGAAACATAAGTAAAATTTTTCAATTAAATAGACCAGGAGGGGAGGCTCAGGGTTCAACTTGATGTCACTGCAGTGCTCTGATTCAGAGGTTATAGGTTCGAGTCCGCTACGGTGGCAGGATTTTCGACACTAGATTCACAGCACGTCGAGTTCAGTTGTTGTCTGAGAGAGATTTCTAGCGGCCGACTACTTTTGATCGTAGTTTTTGCGTATTTTTTTCGATTAACTACCAAGGCGAGCCGGAACAGTACCCCCTGACATAAGGGCGAGCACAGACCGGCGCGATCTTCTCTTCCCCTTCCGTGTCCTTCTTTACCCTTAGAAGTTTACATGCAGACACGTTTACAGCTTATACTGCACTACAATACTACATTTGCCGGGGAAGACGGTCGGGAGCTATGTCCCGGCTGGGGCGATATGGTGCAAAAATCTTCTCGCGGAGACACATGTTGGGGGAAAACTCGCTACTCAAAACCAGTAGGGACTAGACAGCGGATCTTAGCATACCCCACTGTCGAGGGAAAGAATACAGCCACTCCTTCCGGGGGACAACATAATCTAAACCATAACAGGACTAATGATCGTTTAGCAGTTCGGCTTGCGATATCAGTATTTCGAAACACATACAATCAATTGTCGATAAGAAGCATGGAGTTCTGACCACGACGGGCTACGAGGCTAGCACCTTTAATTTTAACCACCAAAACATAAAAAAGTTACGTGGTGCGCAAATAGTACAAACCTACCCGTATCGTTCTAGCACTGCTAAGTTTTTTCAAGTGGAGGAAAAAACATTTATTCATCCATTTTTATTTATTTTTGAATCTAACTTTAAAAATCTTAAATTATAGTGTCCTAGATAGTAAAAAATGATAATGAGGCTGTTTCCTTTTTTGCTCTCCACGTCACGTAGGGTAGAACATAAAAAGGTTCTTCAAGGACTAAACCTTTTCATCTCTGAGATACCCTCATGACCTAGGGTGCAATCTTGGAAAGTTAGAATAAAAACAATGCATTTTTCGAATTAAGTGTCGGTTCCACTCCGTGAGAAGGGCCGTGAGTACCAGCGTGCGTCTGTCTGTCCGCAGGCGGGAGCGCTTCGCTCGCAGGGCGCTGGGCGGCGAGGTGGGGGAGGATGTGGAGGGCGACGAGGGCAAAGGGCAAGACAAGGACGGGGACGATGCGGCGGGGCGCGGCGCCCAAGGCGCTGGCCACAGCGGCGTCCGCTGGTCGCTGCGGTGGCCCTGGACGCCGCGGCGGAGGGGGCGCGGCGGCGGCGGCGGCGGCGGTGGCGGCGCGCTGGTGGCGCTGGCGCACGGCGCGGCGGCGCGAGGGGCAGCGGCGGCGGCGGCGGGGGCGGGGGCGGCGGCCGGGGCGGACGCGCTGCCGCTTCATCCCGCTGGTGTTCCCCGAGGCGGGCGCCGAGCCGCGCGCCCCCGTCACCTCAGCCGTCGCCCCCGAGGACATCCGCTCCAGCTTCCGCTCCGTCAAGGTCCAGAGCGCGGCGCCGGCGCCGCCGCCCCGCGCCCCTCGGGACGACGCCCTCCGCCCCGTGTACAAGGGCCGCACGCGCGGCGGCCGCCGGCGGGCCTCGGCTGCAGCAGCGCCATGTTTCGCGGCCTCCGCCTCTGCCAGTGACCGCAGCACCCTCGCGCTGCGTGCGCTGCCTTCTGGGCACACGGCGGCCGGTTCAGCGCAGTGTGCCTCTGCGCCCTCTTGATTGGCAGCCCTGCGCGTTGGCTATTACCCACTCTGACCAAGAACGCAGGAAAGGAGCGATACGTCCGTTTTCATATCCCCGACGTACCCCAGAGTGTTTTGCTGTCCACAGTGAGCATCATTTTATGAGTGTCTTATAACACACAGGGCAGTCGTAATAACCGCTTCTTTGATGCTTTCTGATTGTGAAACTGTATGTCAAGGTAACGCAAAGAGTACGAAGAGAAAATCTGTATGGATTTTTAGAATTTTTATTATTTTTAGAGAAATAACGGTTTTTGAAACTGTTGCAGCCTTGTATACTGTCATACAGTGTACAAGTACTTTAATTTAATTTTGTAAATCTGAAATCACGGGAATTATAAACTTTTTCTGATGATATAATTTCGCTAATTTATAAAGCTAGCACTACCACATTGTAATAAATAATCATATCACAACGTTGAAAACAGGTAGAACAAAGTTCCTATGTATACTCTCTGAAGCAATATTAATCGCGACAATCTGTCATTTACGTTGAATTTTTACTTTAATATGAAAGTTTAAATTGAACAATTCTGTCACTGTGAATTTTGGACAATATGTAAACTTGATATACTGTGTAAATCATGAGCAACCATGGAGAGAAAAAATAGAATGGATAAGAGTACTGAAATCGCCACTAGCATTTCGTGCACCTCGAAAAAACTGCATAATTAATAAGTGGAATTTTGTTTGTGCACTTATGTAAAATATCTGTAGAATTAATCGTTTTTGTTTGTTTTTTTTCATTTGAATACTTTTTGCTTCACTATTAAGCATGGAATAGTGTCATTGCCAGAAAAATGACTACAAAGATATCTTTGGGAAGAGAATTTCATTTACATTCTATTCAAAACTTAAGGCCAAACACTTGGTGATTTATTCTACATCATAATTGTTGAAATATAAGCTCTGAAGCTACTAGTGCAATACCTCGTTGAACTAATCCTTATTACTAGAGAATGATGTAATTGCAGAGTTTGGAACAAAGTACAGTAAAATGTGCTCAATGCGGAAGCTCAAGCGACTGGTATTTTTTGTGTATTAAACAATATTCCTCTTTATACAATATAATTCAGTATAACAGTATGTTTAGCAAGACCATGATTCATATTCACATTAGAGAGATTTCCCATTGAGCTGGTTTTACTGTATTATCTTAGAAATTAGAGTAATCAACAGGGAAACAAAGGCACTAATACTGGCTAAAAGTTAAGATAATGGTTAATCTCAAATCTTAACATAGGTATTTGAATGATCATAAATAAACTGCAAAGTCAAATCATAAAGAAGAAAGATAAAGTTTAATGGGAGTGATAACCTCACACCATCTAACTAAACATTATCATTCAAAATGGAAAAATGGTGTCTGAAACTGGAAAACTAAGAAGGGATATTAAATTACACAAGAAACAAAAATTAGTTTCTCAATTTCTGTCATGAGTACCATTTTGAAGAGAATGTTCAAATTCTTTTGAGATTCTATCTTCTATTTGCAGTGCAGTTTGCTTATCACATTCAATTGTTATTTACATTGAAACATGAATTGTTTATCAGAGTTAAAATTATTGCAATTTATATTGTTCATGTAGGTCTTGTACTTTCTATCTCACTTTCAAAACATGATAATGCTCCTTTCTCTATATTATTCTTTATTTTCAGAAAGTCCATTCTCTTTAGATAAGATGCCAACACTGTGATTTGATTCATAGGATATTCCCTCTGAAATACACAATACTAGGGATTTTAATGCAATGGAAGTTTTCAAGTACATAATTCTAAATGTAAGTCATTATGTTCAAAACATGTGACTAAGAAATAATTATGTATGTACATTGTTATAAAAGAAATAAATTTATTTTATAATAGTGTTTCCAGAAATGCTATATTTTTTTATCAGAATTCTTTATGCTGTTAATTGTAATATGTAAAGAATAGGCAGTGAAGAAAGCCTGGAGTGTGTCAATTTACAAATGTATTATTGATATATTTTTCATACAATTATGAAAAAAGAAGACACAAGTTCTTAAGAAAATAGTGATACTGCATCATTACAAGTCACGCACAAATGTATTTACAATGAGATACAATATTAAAATGCTTCTAAACAATTTCTGTACAAATTCTATTTATTTTTCTGAAGAACATTAATTGTTTCAAGAAAGAAGAGAATAGAGTGGTCATGAATCCTAGAGAATAGAAATTTCTATTGCAAGTTGTTAATTACCGTTGGAATGTAAATTAATATTTTCAAATAACAAAATGAAACACCATAACAGAGTTTAAGCAAAAGAACAAGTAAGATCAGAGGTAGTTTCTGTGTCAGTTGCAAGTTTATACAGGTATCTTTCATTCCTTCCATTGATTCTGAAATTTATTCTATTTTTATCAATGAATTGGTAGTATATACTAATTTCTTCAGTATCATTTTTAATTGTTGTAGTAGTATTTCATTTAAAATTTTCCTTCACTTTCATTCCTATTGGCAAGGTTTTGTTGGTTCAGGAATATAAATAATACACACTTTCAAGTTGAAGGAAGGAATGTATTAATCAACTTTACAGAAAGAATGTTTCTCATATCGTAACAAACCTTTCACAAACACACACAACACATGAGATCTGTAAGTGAAACTTTATAACAATGATGCTAGCAGATGACAAATTCTCTACAGGTTTGCAGAAGAGGTATATCTAGAAAGTATTGGGGGAGGGAGGCATTCAACACCTCACTCATAAATATTTTTTAAAGAAGAACAATAATAATAATTGAATAAAGAAACAAAAATTTAAATTAAAAAAATGTATATTCATAATGGAAAGACTTTTGGATATGTTACAATCAATTTATGGTAATAGTTTTTAATAAATGAAGAAAAAATATGTTTTATTTATTTCATTAACAACAGGCTAACTACTGCCCTACTAAAATACAAAATGCCCCATTTCTGTCCAATACAGAATTTCATACAAAATTAGAGTATACAGTTTAATAAAGCAATAAATTA